ATGTCTAAGACGTAACTTGAATTCTGCGCCTCAAGTACCATCAATTGATAGCGGTTTAGGGTATGCGGAGGCAACATGGCATCCAAGCCAGGAGCGCAACCAGAATACGTCTTGACGCAGATTAAAGCTGCGGCTTTGACTGATGACGCAGATGGGTTTCGAAAAGGTGCTACTGCATATCGAAAGGCCATACACTGGGCCAAGCGACAGAGGGATCAAGCCATATCACGAGCCAACGACAGGACAAATGGTCAGAGCCATGCCAACTTACATCGGGAAGATGGCTTAGGACTGGACTTTTTGAGCGAAGGATCTGCTGCTGAGACAGTGGGACTGACCAGCCACGCAACGATCACGACCCACGGATCCAACGCGTCACCCTTCTGTGATTCTGAATCCTCTGCAGACGAGCTGTCTTTTGATCACGAACCGTTAGATAAACGGAGCAAGGGCCCTGGGGGTGGGCTGCCCACGAGAGCCCTCCGCTTGCGGCAGGAATCACAATATGGGCGTAAACGGACACGTTGTGCTTCTAACAAGCGAGTTGACAGTGATTCCTTCACAGATGGGATCGAATAGCCTGCTATGAATAACATCACCTGACACTCATCATTCAAGCTGTGGAATGTATCGCACGTGCAGCAAGACTACTCGCCCCAAACACTTGGCGGAATAGCAGGGAGGCTTTTGATGATCCCACCGCAATTGTCGGACATGGTCACGATAGCATATGAAGATGCAGAAAGAGCTTTGAGAGTAGCTTGCGCAATAAATCCATTCAAAAGGAATATATAGTCGGTCCAGCTCCCCTCTGATCTCTCCCCTTAGATCTTTCCAACCCCTCTCCGGGCGGAAGGCCTTTGGTCTTGCCCCATGCGTGAGAAGTTACACTATTGGATCGCTTGTTTACCTCGTTCAAGGTGCATCTCTGGGCTCCTCGCCCCAGCCATTGTGCAAGGCCATGTCGGTCAAAACCTGTACGGCACTCCTCAGCTGGGGGCTGAGCGTCAACATGCGTGCCTCAAAGACGGATCTCTTGCGAATCTCGAGGTCGAAGCCGGGATGGAACTTGCAGAGCTTCGTAATGGCGCTGTCGAGGCGCTGGGACGCCGCTGCATAGGCCTGGGCGTCAAACCCCAGCACATCCCACTCGATGAAGCTCACGACCCTTGCAAAGGCCCGTTGGCCGGTGATGCCCAGGTCCGCAAAGGTGGACGCCAGTGAGTCTGTCGGCTCGCCTTGCGCTGGTCGGCTGGCAGCAGACTCGGATGGCGCGGTGTAGGATTTGGTGGCGTCCTGGGTGGCGCTGGTGCTCTGCGGTGCGTCGATATGCCGTCCAATGAGTCGCAAGAACTCATCACAGGCCTTGACCACTTCCAACAGCAGGCGGCGGAACTTGTCGGGGTCGCGCGCGTAAGGTCCCCGGAGCTGACCCTCTCTGACTCCCGAAGATTCGATAATGTCCCAAACCTCGTCAAGTCGCCAGAGGGCATCCCTTATCACCTCGGGGGGGCGATCCTCGGCACATTGCGGCATGCCTGATACGCCAGCCCCAACACCGTCCTGCTCAGCTCAAACATGGAGCTGGAGGCCACGCCGCGGCCAATGTCGACCCAATCTTCTACGGCGCCCGAGGGCCCTGTTGTTGCCGTCAGGCCGGTCATTCGGCATGAAGGAGCCAGTCAGCGCGGCTGGCGTCTAAGAGCGGTGCGACAGGGAAGGTCAGTCTCTCAAGGTGACGGACAGAAGGAGGTAGGTCACTGTGTGAGGAAGGATGAAGAAACAAGAATTAGATCAGTTCAGAAGATACATGTATGTCATGTTCCCCTGGGTAGGTATCCGTGTGATATGACACGTTGTGGAGAAGGTGTTCAAGTGCCTTGTTTTCCATACAAAAAAGATGCTGGCCTGATGCCCTGCCTATTTATAAGCTATAGGCTCGGATTCGGATGCTTCTGGGAGTCTTTCGAAGCTCTAAAGACCCTGGTCTAGAGTCTAGACCGCCGTACACTTGACCTTCCCGTGACGCGCTATTGATTGGGGCTTCGGGGCTAACCGCCCACGGCAGCATAACCTTTCGAGCCTACCCGCTGGTCGGTCTGCTCCATGTCATTGTTATAAATACATGTAGCTAAGTAATCCGACATAGCCTTCGAATAAAGTGGTTAGCAAACCCCAGGTGAGGTCCAGGGGCAACCATCAGCCGAGTAATGACCACCCGGTTCATACTGCCGGGCGCTCTTTTATTCATGTTACATACATGTTTGCGCGTCACCTTACCTGTGAAGCAGCGCCCGGGCGCCTGGTGTCACATGAGTTCTTCATGGGCAATCATCTTGGATACGACATTCCAAGGGAATCTTTTCGCTCGAGCCATCAAAGACTGGCTAAAATATGTTACCATATTGACTACACAATTATCGCACGGTATCAAACCTTGGCTCTAGAGTCGTCCAAGGGGGGAAGATGACATTGAAGATGCCGATGGCATCCTGCCTGGCCAGTAACTCAGTCCCTCCTGGCTCTTCTTCCCTAGATTTTCCCTCCAGACTTGACCAGCTGGGAGTCGTCAGCTCTCTATCACCATGACCTCAATCTCAATAACATTCTAGTTCACGAACAAGGCGAAGTCACGGGTGTGCTCGACTGGGGAATGCGTTTCGGCACTACCACTCTGGATGCTAAGTAGTTGGCCAACGCTCCCTGACAGCCAACCTCGGGAAGATAAGCCACAGCGAAACTCATAATAGAGCGACGAGACACCAGAGGAGGCTGAGGCTGCCGCATAAATGGATAAGCGCAACCACATTACCTGGATGATGACAAGGGTAAGAACCAACACTACTGGATTCATACATGTAAGATGGCGTACGAGACGACACAGCTACGCAAGGTCTATAAAGCCAAACTGATGGAATTATGTCCGGGATGGGCCGAGGAAAGCTCGTTGAAGAACGATTTCTGCGATGCAGTCTCGCTGTGCGATGGATTGTGTTGGAAAAAGGCACGCAGATGGGCCGAATGTATGGAGAAGCGCGAGTCTATACAGTTCAAGGCGGCAATACAAAAATTTATCCATCATGAGCATGTCCCGAAACGCCAGTGTGGATATAATATGCCAAAACTCGAGGGTTGTCTTCCCGACAGGGTCCCGACGGGGTTTGCCTTGTGTTTTCTATTATTTTCTATGATTTTCTTTCAGCTCTTGAAGTAAGGCACCTCCTTCGCTATCACCAAAGGTTCGCAGACTGCTGCAGGGCAACAAAAAGTGACGAAGCATACAAGGCAGTCGAGGCAGACAGGGTGGCTGTGCGACTGTGCTGGACAATGTCTCACCCACCACCCACCACCCACCACCCAGGGCGTCCTCGTTTTCATTTCCAGCGCTAGCTATACACTATAACTATGGATGTAGTCCCTCGGTGTCCAACTCTCATAGAGACGCCGGCGGGCATTTCTTCGCTTCGTCGCGTCTTGGCCCAATCCTTATTCTCCTCAAGACATCGCCACATCCAGTCGCCAATTTGTTTCAGAGCGTCAAGACTTGCTGCACTCCGATCAGTCTTCGAGCCTCGCCACCATGAACTTCACGATCCAAGTACCCAACGGGACGACAAACCACGGCCAGCCGGACCTCTACTGTGTGCCACCCGATTGGAAAACCTTTACCGAGTTCTTCGCCACAAACTATCTGCTCCATGTCTTGACGGTACCAGCAGAGCCTGGCGAGGCGACATCGTGGCTCGTCTTCGCTGCGTTCGCGGCGCTCGTGTGCCCATCCGCCGGTGTTGTTCGCGCCATCCGGGTGCTCGAGCGGAAGCCATTCTGGTGGAGGCGAGGGAACGACGTCCAGGAAGCCTTGAACGCCGGTGCGCTGTGCACTGTTGTCAGGACTGTGGTACAGGAGGGCGCGCGCGACGACGGGTGAGTTCCTAACTTCCTCCGTCACTACCAATTGCACAAAGACGCTTGAATCACGTGCCCATGGGAGCGGCAGCACTCACTACGCACCCAACTAAGCAATGGGGCAGTTATTTTTCTCCCATGATCCCCGAAGAAAGCTGGACTCGAGACATCTTCAAATGGTACACCGGCGACTATGCCGCGCTGCTCATTGCGCCCATGAAACGACGAGTTCTGCATGGATCATGCGTCTTACCCAAGGGATTTGAGCTTTTGCAGCTGCCAGCCGGCACTCCGATCAAAGTCTTGTCGGGATTTGAGAGGGCTGTGCCGCCTCGTGATATGGACAAGGGGTGGTTTTCAAACGGAGGTGTTAGGATTGGCTCCAACTTCAACATCGCCAAAGGTCTCGTTGGCTTGATTCAGATCGTTTCTGGATCCGTCACCTTGTACCAGTCACGGGGTGACCAGATCGAGCGCTACGGCTATGCGGCGTTTGGGCTTTCTATTGTCCCATACGTATTTATGTCGACGTTGAACCTCCTAGCAGCGCTAGTCTCGCCCGAGTATCCAGCGATGTATCTGGCTCTTAGCCCTGACGTCGAATCTGCTATCGCCCAAGGCGGTATCTTTGAGGGAGCCGTCGCCACGATTGACACCGGCGCTACTGATGAAGAGTTGGGTACCGGACGCAACAATCCCCCAGCATCGACGAGGAAAATCTATCTTTATCGCCTCTCTATTCCCCGCACCAGCTTGGGGAAATTGCTCCTCATCGGGGCATCTTTCGTGCCATTCAGTATCTTCGGAGGGCTTTCCGGTTTTAGATCGGGAAACAGCACCCACACGCAAAGAGGCTTCATGATGTCGTGGCAGGTGGTTGGCGCAGTGTATTGGATCCAAGCTGAACTGGCCAAGTATTATATTGATGATGAATCTTGGCTTGTTCTTTGGGCGGCACTGGTTCAGGTGATTTGTCTTGGCGCCCCAGCTGTTGGTGGCATGGTCATGGTTGGACAGATGCTTCGCGAGTATGGAGTGTGCACAAGAATTGACGTGTAGGTACACTCAGCCCCCGGAGTAGATTAGCTATCCTCTTCATGCTGCAATCGGTGTCACTGCATGGCCAATGTGAACCTTCGAGACCAACAGATGGCAAGATGACACCCGACGCCCAGTGGAGATCGCACCAAGCCCTTCAATCACCAGATTGATCTCTTTGACAACATCCGTGTTCTTCTACTCGCCTGCGAGGTGAATCGATGGAAGATCCTGAAGCGGCTCGTGGAATTTGAATACGATTTCTCGGTACGGCCTACTTGTGGCAAGGAACTTGAGCTATGATTTTCCTCCCGCGGACCTGTACTGGCGGTAAAACCGCATTAAAAACCCGATCAATTTGAGCCGATCATCTTCCCGACATTCATCCAGGGCGTCCAGGACACAGATGACTTCATGTTGTCCAGACGATTCGTCTGCGCCCGCCGCAGTAAGATCCGCCATAGTTCGTCTAGTTGGTGACGGAGATTCTTAGTATTTCTTTCAAAAGAAGAGACGGCGTGGTGTAGGAGGTCACGCCTGTAGGTGAACACCTGGTGGAGGACTGCGCACAACGCCGTTCCGAGGCTGTTCTGCTCCGCATTGTCCTTGAAGAAGAAGTGGCAGACGGTATGGGCCTGCTTCGGGAGCTTTTTCGTCGACTAGACACTTTGCCAGTACTGACTTACCACAGCCAGGGTCCGCTGAGACCCATAGCAGGTCGTTATGATCACTCTGTTGCTATTTCACGTACTGCTCGTGCGCTAGCACCTACTTGTAGGTGCCTGGGACCCGGTTCGGATTGAAGTTCTTGAACTTCTCGTAGGTTGACGTCTCGAAGGATTGATGACACTGGGTATGTTTGTCGTTTTCGTACCTTAGGTCTCGTTCCTCTGCCTCATGGGATAGAGTTTGGCCGATTTTCTCGAGATGTTGATGGGTTTCCTTGTTTGCTCACGACATCAACATAGAGTTCAGAATGACACAAGTAAAAAGTCTGCCAAGACTTATCCGAGACTGGCTGTGGGATACTCTTCTCTGCCTCGATCTTGCTTGTCGGGATCTGCTGTAGCAGGTCCCTTGCATACGTAGCCGCACCCATGGCCGCGTACCCCTGCCACTGTTTATGCTTGTGCGAGTCTGAGTAGTCGCGAATACCACGGATCATAAGACACGGAAAATGGTTCATGAGACCGGCCGCCTTCATCTCGAAGCAGAGGACACCACTTTTTTTTAGCAAGCGTGTCGCGTATATGCGCATCCTTCATCAAGTGGTTGCCGCTAGCAATGAGTCCATGATGAATTGCCGGGTTGTCCTCATCCTCCTCGCGATCCGGCCGGGCGACGAGGTGCTGAGCATTGAACCTGCATTCGTCGCCACAAACGTCGCCGTG